CAACTATTGGGATTGCATCAAATTGAGAAGTTTCTGTACTGCAAAAGAAACAGTCAGGAGAGTGAAGAGACAACCGACAGAATGGGAAAACATATTTGCAAACTATGCAACAGATAAAGGGTTAATAACCAGAATCTACAAAGAGATCAAGAAACTCCACAAAAACAAAACCAACAACCCACTTAAGAGATGGGCCAAGGACTTCAATAGACATTTTTCAAAAGAGGAAATCCAAATGGCCAACAGGCACATGAAAAAATGTTCAAGGTCACTAGCAATCAGGGAAATGCAAATCAAGACCACAATGAGGTTTCACCTCACCCCGGTTAGAATGGCTCACATACAGAAATCTACCAACAACAGATGCTGGCGAGGATGTGGGGAAAAAGGGACACTAACCCACTGTTGGTGGGAATGCAAACTGGTCAAGCCACTATGGAAATCAGTCTGGAGATTCCTCAGAAACCTGAATATAACCCTACCGTTCGACCCAGCCATCCCACTCCTTGGAATTTACCCAAAGGAGTTTAAATTGATAAACAAAAAAGCGGTCTGCACCCTAATGTTTATTGCAGCACAATTCACAATAGCCAAGACCTGGAACCAACCTAAATGCCCATCAATGGTAGACTGGATAAAGAAATTATGGGATATGTATTCTTTAGAGTACTATACCGCAGTAAGAAACAACGAAATCCAGTCATTTGCAACAAAATGGAGGAATCTGGAACACATCATGCTGAGTGAAGTAAGCCAGTCCCAAAGGGACAAATACCATATGTTCTCCCTGATCGGTGACAACTGACTGAACACCAAAGAGGAAACCTCCTGAAGTGAAATGGACACTATGAGAAATGGTGACTTGATCAGCATAGCCCTGACTGCTAATGGACAACTTAATACATTATCCCTCATAGTATTTTTTTTTGTCTGTTCTACTTAATATGACTGGTTTAATTCTGTAATTATCACACAGTTATTCTTAAGTGTTGAAAATTAACTGAAATGTGATCCCTGTTAAACATAAGAGTGGGAATAAGAGAGGGAAGAGATGTATAATTTGGGGCATGCTCGGGCTGACTTGCCCCAATTGGTAGAGTTGGAAACATACCAGGGGATTCCAATTCAATCCCATCAAGGTGGCATGTGCCAATGCCATCTCACTAGTCCAAGTGATCAATTTCAGTTCACAATTGATCATAATGAAAGGACTAAGAGTCAAAGGGAGCACATAAACAAGTCTAGTATCTGCTAACACCAACCGATAGAATAAATAAAGGGGAGAGTGATCCAACATGGGAAGTGAGATACTCAGCAGACTCATAGAATGGCGGATGTCCTAAATAGCACTCTGGCCTCAGAATCAGCCCTAAAGGCATTCCGATCTGGCTGAAAAGCCCATGAGAGTATTTCAGGCATGGAAAGCCAAGACACTCTGGCAAAAAGATCTCTGTGAGAGAGATCCCAGTGGAAAGAACAGGTCTTCAAAGAGGGAGGTGCCTTTCTCTGAAGGGAGGAGAGAACCTCCACTTTGACTATGACCGTGTCTAAACAAGATAAGAGTCGGAGAACTCAAGGGGCTTCCATAGCCTTGGAAACTCATAACTGGTGCATAGGGAGTTTACTGATGCCATAAACAGGAGTGTCAATTGGTAAAGTCAACAACAGGAGTCACTGTGCACTTACTCCTCATGTAGGATCTCTGTCCTTAACGTGCTGTACACTGAGGCTTAATGCTATAACGAGTACTCAAACAGTATATTTCACTTTGTGTTTCTGTGTGGGAGCAAACTGTTGAAATACTTACTTAAGGTATACTAAGCTGATCTTCTGTATATTAAGATAATCGAAAATGAATCTTGATGTGAATGGAAGGGGAGAGGGAGTGGGAAAGGGGAGGGTTGTGGGTGGGAGGGACGGTATGGGGGGGAAGCCATTGTAACACATGAGTCGTACTTTGGAAATTTATATTCATTAAATAAAAGATTAAAAAAAAAAAGAAAAAAAAATAATAAACAAGCTTTGGCTGCAAGCAAAAAAAAAAAAAAAAGAAAAGTAGCTGAGGATGGCCCAAGTTCTTGGGTCCCTGCTACCCTTGTGCAAGAACTGGAAGAAGCTGCCAGCTCTCAGCTTTGGCCTGGCTCAGCCCTCGCCACTGCAGCCATCTGGGGAGTGAACCAGAGGATGGAAGATCTCTCTCTTGCTCTCTTTTAAACAAATAAATAAATCATAAAAAAAAACCTCAAGAGTTGTTGTTCATGTACACATATTTTGGAACAGTACCTCCAATTCTATTCATTCAACATATTGTAAAGAATAAACACTTTTTTTCATCATTCCTAATTAACATCTTATTCCTTATCTATTGTTTTTTGGTTTTTTAAAAATATTTTTTTTTCTATTTTTTTTAAGCTCTGTGTGTATTAGGTTCTACAGTAATTCTTATTTATGTCCCTTTTTGTCCCTGGGGATTAAAATTGCTCAGATAGAAAAACTCCGATAGCTCAGATCTCAATAAATTTAAAAAGGGCGATACTTCTTTCGGATTGTTGCAGTCATGGGAGCAAAAAAGCACGCTGATTATAGGGGTAGTTTTCCCCTGAAAGCAAACATGCTCCCATTTGAATCATTCTTGAAATTAGCTAATCTAAGGGTCAGAAAATAAGAGTGGAAATAGGATCAGAGGGAGAGAGGGAGAGAGGGAGAGAGAGAGAGGAATATGACATGGGTGTTTAATCTAGTGGTTAAGACACTGCTTGGGCCACCTACATCCCAAATCAGAGTTCTTGGGCTCATGTCTTAGCTATGCTCCTCATCTCAGTTCCTGCTAATGTGTACCCTGGTAATGGCTCAAACGCTTGGATCCTCCCACCATGTGGGAGACCTAGATGGAATTCCAGGCTTCTGGCTTTATCCTCTCTCAGTCCTAGATGTTGTAGGCATTTGAGGAGTGAACTAGCAGATGGGAGATCTTTCTCTCCCTCTAAAATAAACTAAATGTAAATTTAAATGAGAGAGAGAGAGAGAGAGAGAGAGAGAGAGAGTGAGTCACTCTATATCTTTGAACATGAGCAGCTTCCAACAATGCGATTTCCAGCAGTTGGACCAGCTTTACCAGCCACAGAAGGCAGGGGCGGCCAGCACCGCGGCTCACTAGGCTAATCCTCCGCCTTGCGGTGCCGGCACACCGGGTTCTAGTCCCGGCCGGGGTGCCGGATTCTGTCCCGGTTGCCCCTCTTCCAGGCCAGCTCTCTGCTGTGGCCAGGGAGTGCAGTGGAGGGTGGCCCAAGTCCTTGGGCCCTGCACCCCATGGGAGACCAGGAGAAGCACCTGGCTCCTGTCATTGGATCAGCGCGGTGCGCCGGCCACAGCGCGCCGACCACAGCGGCCATTGGAGGGTGAACCAATGGCAAAAAGGAAGACCTTTCTCTCTGTATCTCTCTCTCACTGTCCACTCTGCCTGTCAAAAAAAAAAAAAAAAAAAAAAAAGAAGGCAGGGGAATGACTAAACTTCACCCCTGCCGTCTCCCAAGCCCTCCTGAAATAGAGGCAAGTGCGGTAATCAAAGAAAGTGTTGACTTTCTGCAATAGAAGAGGACAACAGGTTCCAGGCAAATGTGTGTTTGATCCTGGAATTGACCTGAATTCATCCATCTGCACACTTTTATCAGAACTTAGGGAAAATGGCATGTAGGTGCGACCTGGAGGAGTCACTCAGGACAATGGCACTTGGAGCCTAAGGCATTTAAAAAAGTATGGATAAGCTTGACATAGGGAGAAGTGATCCTTGTCATTTCTAGGGTAACTACCAAGGCGTTAGGTACATGGCAGGAACCCACCCAGAGGCCAGTTTGGCAGAGTAGCAGAACTGTTCACAGTCTCTTGAGTGCTGACAGCAAAATGCCTTGACTCTGAAGGCAGCCACCTGCAGGTGTAGCCATCCAGCACGGCAGACTACAGCTGCAACCTGTCCCTAGGGGTGCATATGAGTGCCAGAGTGCCTGGCAAACAGATGGTTGGGCAGCAGCAGAGAAAGAGAGGACTGGTACTTGGACAAAGCAATTTTAAGGTATTTTTGGGTGTTTTGGAAGGACACAGACTCCAGCAAAAAAAAAAAATGATCTTATTCCTGCTAATTGGGGCTCATGGACAGCTTTGGACTAGTGTTACTGTAACACAGAAGGAATGTGACAATATCTGCATCCCACCTTGACGCCCTTGGTCACGCTGCATACTCCGGAGCTTACTTTGGTGCAGCTTATTGTTTTATGACTGTTTTCTGATCTCTTTGGGTCTGTGCTGATAAGATGGTGACTCCACCTTACGTGTTGTAAATATTTTGAATATGGTTTCAGATACATCCGAGTCTCTTTCCTGTGTATTGAACTAATTCTCACCTCATTGATGCCTGCATATTTCTAATTCAACATAAGAGTTAATCATAAGAGTCAATTAGCTAAGAAAATAAGAGACATCACTTGTACTACGCAATCAAAACCCTAGTTCCACTTAAGATGCATAAATGAGAGTTTTTCAGGATTTTCCATTGAATGACAGAATTAAAAAATTTATAATTTGAGGGTCAGTTGGACTTACCAGTTCAACTCTAATTTTATAGACAAGGAAATTGAAACACAGAGACTAATTTTGTTAGGGTCACCTGCTGCATTGGGATATGCATTAATTTTAAAGCATTTTTTCATATACTATTCATTTTTTTCTCTCAACAACCCCATAAGAGGTATGATCCTTTCCTATTCTAAAAATGAAGACATTGGGGCTGGTGTTGTGGAACAGTGGGTTAAGCAGCCACCTCTGAAACTGGCATCCCAAATGGGTACTGGCTCAAATCCCAGCTGGTCCGCTTCCCATTCAGCTCCCTGCTAATTTGCCTGGGAGGGCAGCAGATGGTGGCTTCTGTGCTTGGGCTCCTGCCACATATGTCTGAGAATCAGATGTAGTTCCAGGCTCCTGGCTTTGGCCTGGCTCAGCCCTGGCCATTGTGTCCATGTGGTGAGTGAACCAACAGATGGAAGATCTCTGTCTCTGTTTCTCCCTCTCCCTCTTTCTGTAGCTCTGGCTTTCAAATAAATAAATCTTTTTTTAAAAATGAGTTATTAAAGATCATACTCTCTGTGACTCTCCTGAAGCTCAAAGCTTCTTCTAAGTTCAGTGCTATTTTCCCCATCCCAGTTAAACTAGATCAAGTCTCAGGAGATCAGAGTTCATTCAATAACTAATGATCACTTGTGTGTCTGGCCCCATTTAGGAGAATAACAGGGAACAAGAGAGGCAAACCCTGCTGTCATGGCTCTTATGTTCCATTAGAAGGTACAGATGAACTAGCAGATGTATAAACAAAACAGTTTTGTTCATGATACATGTTATATGAAATTGAATCAGGTGTTGTAACAGAAGGTCACTTGATGTGGGATCCTGGGAGTGTGAGGTTAACTGACAATCTCAAGTTCAGATATATAAGTCAGAATCAGTTTCTCTGAGGAGATGATATTTAAATTGAGCCCTGAAAGATGCCAAAGAGCCAGCCATATGAAAAGAGAGGACGAGTGTTATGTTGAGAGGGGAGGGACAACAAGTTCAAAAGTGTTGAAAGGGAATTGAGTTTGCCATAGTTGAGGAGATAGTGGATGTCTGGACAAGACTAGATGTCGAGAGCCTTGTAGGCCATGGTGACTTTAGATTTTACTTAAGCTAATGTTTTTTTAAATATTTATTTATTGATTTGAAAGGCAGAGTTACAGAGAGAGAGAGAGAGAGAGAGAGAGATTGAGAAAGATCCTCCATCCACTGGTTTACTCCCCAAATGGTCGCAACAGCTGCGGTTGGGTCAGACTAGAACCAGGAGCCTGGAACTCCACCAGGGACTCCCATGTGGGTGGCAAGGAGTCAAGTACTTGGACCATCATCTGCTGCTTTCTCAGTCGCATTAACAGGGAGCTGGATTGGAAGCTGAGCAACCAGGACTGAAACTGGTGCTTATAGGATGCTGGTGTCACAAGAGGTGGCTTAACTTGCTGTGCCACAATGCTGGTTCCAACTCTAACATTTTAATTTCAGCAATGTCACTAAATAACTCTGCAAATCTGAAAATGTTGCTTTCTGACTTGTTTTGCCACCATTTATTTTTCCCCAAATCTGAATATTGGAATCCTATAATTGGATGATTTCAGAGTGTTTCTGCTGCTCTTGCTTCATTTGTTAATGACATCAATCCTATAGTTTTAAAAATATTTAGTTTAGCATCAATTATAATTACCAACTGGTTTTACAAATAATAAAACCCAGGCAGATAGACACTTTAGGTTGAGTGACATGGAAAGGGACACTGGCATCACTGGTAAACTTAGGGACAGAAAAGTCTTCGTTGTGCTTAGCATTTGAAATGAGCTCTATATAATACCCACTTTTAATATACTTAAGCAAAACACTAGGCAAACTAACTGGCCTAACATCTAACCAATCATCATAGATTGAATTCTGGTTATCAGGAAAATATGAAAGTTTCCTATAGACCAACCCATAGTAAGGTTATCTAATATATTTTTACAGCTTGTAAGATCTTTGTAGACTGGATTCACTGTTCTGTGGACTATGGGCACAAATTCACAAAGGTAAGTCCTTGCTCTTTCATCCACTCTGTTTCAAAAACATGGATTGAATAAAAATGGGAATATAAACTTACAACAGAATTAATACAAAATGCACTAAAAGTCGATAGTGATCTAGACTTTACACTTTCACATATACATCATGGCATGTGTTTTGAACACATTTGTGTCAACCCAGTAGATGGGAACAGATGTGCACAAGGATGGGTCCTACCGTGGGTCTCATTTTCTGGCCCATGCATTCAGGGAGTGTTGAGGGGGTAGGAGCTAGAGGGGAGGGAGGACAGAGAAGGTGTTACCCTCGTGAGAGTGTTTTTGAAAGCTGTGGGCACTTATTTTTGTCTTAGTGTAATCACAGCATTCACATATTAAAGTACATTTTAAAATTATGAATTGCTCTCATTCCAGATCTTTGTGGTGTTAGTTCATACACATTTGATTTTTACAAATAAAATGAATAGGTAAGCATATTTCCTATGAAGCCCATTATAGGACAGTGGAGGAAAATATGATATATCTAAAATATATATGGGACAGAAAAAGCCTGCTTCTAGGGCAGCACTCTAGATCAGGGTTCTCAAAGTGTGGTCTGAGGCCCAGCAGTTACCACTGCTTCCCCACTGCTTGGGAATTAAAACAAACAAACAAATAAAAACAAACAAACCATGCAAATTCCCAGATCTCACTTCAGGATTACTGTATCAGAAGCTCTGAGGCTAGGGTCCAGCAACCCGTTTTTTAACAAGTTGTTTCAAGAAGATTCTGTTGCTCCAATTTGAGACCTACTGCTTAGGCTAATGCTATCTGAAGTCAAATGATTTTTGAAGGAATGCAGGTTATACTTTCTGAAATACAGTCTTCTAGCTGCTGCACTCATGCACTACTGTGATGTTTTGGGATCTTTGGTCTTGAAAGGTAACTCATCACCTGGTAGAACATCATAGTGAAGCAGCTAGTACTGGCTAGAGGGTTGCTAGCAAGGTGCTATTTGGTTACAATCCTCCCACACTCCTATGTGTTAGAATCTCTGCCTATGGATGTGTTATTCAGTGTGGTAAGCAATTTTTGCTTTATCTACTGAAGATTTTGGAGGTCATAAAAAACAGGGATGCCATTATTGTGTCCAAAATTATTTGTAAATTCAACCAGGATTAATGGGAAGATCCAAGAAACGCTAAGGAATCATGTATTTCCCAACAAATGGGCAAAGGTAGTACTTGCTTAAAATAACTCAGTAAGGAGATTTGGGGTGTGAAGCTTGGAAGGATAGGGATAGAACTGAAATGTGGGAAGGAAAGAGAGGGTAAGGGAGGATTCATAAACTCGAGAGATGTAAAAAGCAGTAGCCAGCTTGTTAGGGGACATACAATTAACTAAGAACTTCAGATTGTGTCTAAATATTTGTTTTTTTTTTTTTTTAACTGCTTTCAAAACCAACATAAAGTAAAATATACCTTTAATTAATAAAAACACAGCTTCATACAAGACAGGGTGTTTTGTCACTTTGTTAGTATGAAGCTGTGTTTTAAAAAAAAAAAAAAAACAACTAAGGGGTTTTATAAAATAATATAAAATTACAAAGCGTGACCAAACTATAGGTTAGAATATTTCCACAAGTTTTCAGTGAATAGAGTATACATAAGTACTTATGTTAAAAAGGTAAAAATTTAAAAATATAAAATGACTTAGAGAAATCTTTTCTTTAAAAGATGTTTTAGTCTACACACTAAGCATTTTTGAAAGCTTTCATAAGGTACCTATGGCAAAACATTTTTGCACAAAAACTGTAAAAATATGATAGAGCAAACATATTATCTCTAACATCATGGGAGAAAATCTGAATCTTCCTGTAAACGCCTATGAAGAACTACAATGATAAATCTATTTCTGTCCAAAGCACTGGATGACACTCTGTCACACAAAACACACCTGAAGGAATGTTCTTTTAAAAGGCATGGCCAGATATGGACAATCTGCAATGTTTACAGTTTTATCACTTCATGCCTATATTTTTCTGGAAAAACCGGGGGTTTTTAAGGAGATGGGTCTCTGTCTTCACACATTACCTCCTCTGATGTCTTCTCAAAGTCCCACCTGGGTCGCCAAAAATGTTACCGGAGAAATTGCAGGGTTCTTGTCTTCGCGCAAGAAAGAATTCAGGCGTGAGACAGAGAGTAGTGGGAGGTAAAATAGCAAGGTTTATTAGGGAAGGGACATCCGTAAGGATGGATGGGCACCCCTCCAGACAGAGCCTGAGAGACTATCGGGGGCGGGGGGGGGGGGGAGAAAAACACTAAACTTTCTTCAGATGATAAATAACTCTACCAAATGATCCGTATCACTGTATAATAAATAACCTAGTAAGATATTTTCTGTTCCATATTTTAAAAAATTTAATTATCTTCTAGGTACAAAGTTATCTCATCATAAAGCCCAAGGATTTTCCCTTGTAATACTGTCTCATAAGCACATCTTGTTAAAAGTATCAGACAAAAAGATGAGACATGACTGCCACCGTGTGGAATGGGAATGCACCATGTTAATGTAAATACAGATATAGTAACATCAAATAAACCTGCAATTTAATGAGAATTACCAGATTCTTTATCCTAAAATGCAATGGGAACAATGACAAATAAGTACCCTTTAGCCTTCTCTGGATTACATTATTCTAGATCCATAAATGTGTTTCACTTTTGGTACAAGTAGCTGGACACTGCTATTGACAATATCCACTAGGAAAATGCCAATTATGGATATTGTCCATAGGCTTGCTACTCACCGGATGGTCCATGGAGCAGCAGTCCCCATGTCGGACAGGCGTCTGTTTTTAGGCCTCACCACATACACTGAATCAGAGCCTGTGTTCTGACCAGATCCCCAGGGATCTGTGCATACACAATCAGACGCACGCTCCCATCTCCTTTCCTCTCCAGTAACCCAGCACACGGGTAGGTGACTTTCACCACAAAATTCCAGACAGTTAAGAAAAAATATAATTGGTCTCGCTTGAATTACCTGATTAACTGATTTTCCCTTTGAATGTGTGTAAATAGAAAGTCAATTATTTTCTTGGGCTGCCTTACCACTGGGTTAATTCCACACTTCAGAACAAAATTAAGGAGAATTTTTCAGAAGAACGGGCTTGTTTAGTTTCAGGAGAGATCAGAGTATTTTATTTTGCCCAATTAGAGCCCTTCAGCATAAAGAGACATTCATATACATATATATGAACATTTTCCAGAAACACTGATTTATAATACATTTTTTAAAATACCAGCTTAAGGTATTTATTTACAAAAATATTTCATTACCTAATTTTAAACCTTTTGCTGTGATGACAGTTTTTTTTTTTTTATTTTTGGCTGATAAAGTACAGGAATGCAAAGTAACTACAAAGTTTAACACATTTTAGTGTTTCCAATAGTTTTTTTTTTTTTTTTTTTAATGAAACAGTACACAGAGATTTTGTTTTAAACCATATTTCAAATGCACATTCCAGCAATTACCTTTGAGATAGTTACTGGGACTGAGCAAGATTAAAAAAAAAAAAGTGCAGCAACTGAAAAAAACCTGCATGTACAGTTTAAGGTATACACAAGCTAGAACTATTTACCAAGCATGCCTGCCCTGAAGTGGACAATGTTAGAAAAACTAACTCTTGTTCTTTTTTTTTTTTTATACTGTATTTTGGTAATGCATTCACAATGAATCAGTAGTATAACTAGAAAGCAAAATGGTTTTTTGGTTCTAACTACCATGTTGAGCAGAATTCACACCTAAACTATCACAGTACTGTTTTTATTTACACACACAAAAAATAAGAAAATTAAAACATGACTTATCTTCTTTGCACCACTTTCCACTGATATGCTGAGTTTATTTTTAATTTCTTACATTGTCTTCAGTTGAAGCAAAGTTTAGACAACGCAAAACAAACAGCCAAAGTATAAAAAAAATCCAATTCTCAAATAAATAGGATTCCATTGCCATTAATCTATATCCATTAAATGCCTGAGTCAAATGACCTACAATAAATTAATACTGATTTATTTACATCTCATACACTATAAATTTTAATTTAAACTATGAGCCTCATTGCAAAATACTGGCAAAACTGACATTCTTGATTTTTCTGATGTAAAGAGAAAAATAAGGGGAGCACTTACATTAAGCTCTGAACCATAGAACTTAATTCGTAAATGAACTGTGCCTCATAATTTAAGACTGAAGAGAGCAACGGTATAATGCTGGTAACTGGGAAGTTATTAAAATTATTTAATTCAGCTGAGAAATTATGCTAACATTTTTCTTTAATTTTTTTAGTTGCAACAACTGTTTTCTTTCCACATAATCTTTAAAACATCTGAGGCAGTAGTAAAATCATTAATATTCACAGGAAAAGTAATCCCCATAGCACTTTACAAGAAATTGATCAGAGTGATGAAAAGTGCAATTAACAAAAGCTGTAAACAGTATCTTCACATTCATACTCAAATTAATAAAATCAAATCTGTGGGCATAAATTTTAATCCAATATAATAAATACCCTAAAATGAAAAAGAAAAAAAAGGACATTTAAGATATAGGAGTGTTCTTTCTCAAATAAATGCAGATTAAAAAGTCTAGGAATATTGATCAAGTATCAAACTGATAAGGAACAAATTCTATAAACTACAAAATAAAAACCTTCATTGACAAAAATACATAAACTCTGTTTTCATTTTTGGAAATTTATTTTTAAAAAAGGTAGAAGAAAATACCTGGAAAACTATTTTAAATATATTATATATATATATATATATCTGTATTTTAAAACAATAATGAAGGTAGACATCCAACAGCAAGTTTGTAGTTATTGAGAAAGATTGTGAAATTACTGTTGTGGGCATTCTCCCCCCAAATAAAATTAGTATTTGAAATTGCTCAATAGAGGGAATATTTTTGTTAATAACCATGGTAATGGTACTTTTCATGTTATGTGTGAATACTTTTAAATGATGTGTAATTTTTTAAAATTAACTGTATCTCGATATGAGATACCAATATTTCTTATTATAAGCATAAAACATAACTTTTTGTATGGATAATATACATACTTTTTAAGTACTTTGACTTAAACTTAACAAGTTCACCATTTTTAAAATTAAAGAGTACATTTATAAAAATTTCATTTTAAAACTAAAAGTATATTTCTAGCAGTATGTATAAATATAACATGTTACTGTATGATCTTCAAACAAATCTGAAAGTGTTGTAATAATTTAAGATCAAGGACACTGAAACATATAGCAAACAATTTTACTATTTTTTAACCTTTGAAAACTATATAAAACCCTACTAAAGGTTTTTAAACTGATCAGTTTAGTTTAAGGTGTAGATAGCAGCATATTCATGATTTTGGTATGCTTTATTCACATGTATCACTTGATTTAAACTGAGCATTATGGATTAAATGATAATAAAAAGGTTTAATTATCTAAAAAAGTGCAGAAAAAATTCAAGTTTAAAGGTCAGTGCTATTTATTTTGCAGAAACAAAATTCTAGAAGTTAAAGTGTAAAACAAATATTTGCCACAAAAAAATTTACCTTTGGATACAGCTTATTCTAATGTCCTATGAGAAATGCCTTAAGCAAAACATATGGAACACAGAATGCAGAACTTAGGGTAAAACTTCAACTCTGCAGTGTCTCCTGGATTCTCCACTCTCTCTTAGCTGTCTCCCAGTACTCCCCATAATTTAGAAGTATGTAACACTTTCAGACTTGTTTAAAATACTCATGTATCTATACAAATTAACTTCAGAAGGACCTCTAATCAAGAAGTTCTAAATAAAAGAAATATTTCTTTCTTTAAAGTACTGTCCTTAATTGAATTACAATATACTTACACGTAATAACAGACAAGTAGCAGCATTTTTCATATCCATAAAAAATCAAATTAAGAAGCAATAGCTCAGTTGAATCTATAATCATTTTTAGGAAACAACATAAAACTGAAATGCAAACCAAAGGTATTAAGATGATGCAAACCTTAAAAATGGGTGCAATGCACAGAATTTGTCAGAATATAAATTTTCAAATAATTTTCCAAGCATACATATGGATTTTTCAGGTTTTGAAAAGTGAAATGAACTGGACACATAAGGAAACCACTTCCTATTCACAAACTGCTAACAATGACTATTTCAGAGATTTTTAGAGTCAAAGACAAATGACACAAAACAATGCTGAGCATATAGAGAAAGAACATGAAAATATTCCATTTTTCTGGTATTTTCTATTTTGACATTTTATGTTTTTTGGCTAGTTTTCCTGAAATCTTGGTTTGCTGGTGACTATTACTTTTTGCATGTAAAAAGGAAAAAAAAATAGGAGATGTTATCTCTCAAATTACATACAATGAATTCCCTGGGTTAGTTACTTACTGCAGACTGTCTCCTATCTATAGACTCAGTCAAGTACAATTTTGAGAAGCTCATTTCCTATATTCAAAAATACTTTAAGCTTTCTAACTCTACATGAATGTCTATCCTGTTGTGCATAATTTGCAAATTAATCTGGAACAAATGAAAGAATGAAAAATATTGGTTTAGGACTTTCTTATAAAATCCATCTCAGGTAAATGTATCCACTTCTGTATTTGAAAATAATTACAAGGTTGGTTCTATTTATATACAACAGGAAAGATGACAGTAAAAATGAAGTTAATATACAAATAACGTAAAACAACAAGAGAAAATTAAATAATTGGAACTAATATGGCATTCTACCGAACAGGAAATCAACCAGTATATTAATTTACTTAATGCATCTCCACTTCAAATCCATAACTGTTGATTTTATTGATGACATTCACAAAACTGTACCTTTAAAAAAGGATCTAATACTTCCTGTGACATATCATGTAACAATTTATAAACTGCTAAATAGTCAACAGACAGCTGACATTAACTACACAGAAATATGTTACTCATTGATACTTTCTATAAATTCAACTTTTGAAAATGATTGTATCTTAAAAATATTTATTTGGGATTGATCAATTATCTCTATCAAATATATTGAGCCCCATTCCAACAATGTTTAAAGCAAGCTTTGATGTAAACTTTTGTATCCAATAGTGCACATTACAAAATGTGAACCAAAGTTTATTAATGAAGAGTAAAGAGGAAGAGATGCATGAGAGACTGCGTAAAAAGCTGAAGATGCTCTGCATATATTTTTGATGATTGTATGGAATAGAAAAACCACCTTCATGTTTCCTATCAATTTGTGCTCTGATTCTCGCTTAATTAAAAAAGAAAGAACATGATTTTACACATTTTTTAAAGGATGAGAGTATTTAAATTTCATTAACAGTAATTTTAATATTTCTATTTTTCTCTTTGTAGCTTTATCAATCAATCATCTCAGATTAGCTTGCATTATGAGACTGCTTACTTGGGGATCTACCAAGTGGTTTCTTTCCTATCTAGAATCTATTCTAGGAACTAACCGTTGTCCACTGCTGGTCTCAATTTTGCATCATACTGCAGTAAAGAAATAATTTAGTTACGAAAGTGTACGTATTTTCCTTTCCTTTTGGCTTTTTGAAACCTTGGAAGGATATGTACAGATGACTTATATTTCTATAGAAAATAATTTGTAGGTCATCAGACTAGACTCTTATATAGTTATTGACAATAGATGCTTGTAATTTTCCAAGCAATAGCATGTGCACTAAGATTTAATTAGCTAATCACCTGAGTGTATTGGAAGTGTTAGCAAATAAAGGGCATTTTAAAAAGGGAGCTGAGCATTTCACTAAAATAAAGAAACAATTTTTTAAAGCAATTTTAATTAAATAATGCAAAGGGTACATTTGGTTAAACATTTTATAAAAAGTCAAGCAAAATTAAAAACTTAGCCAAGTTCAACATTTCTACAAATTTAACCAATAACTATTTTGGTCAAATCCACCGTTAGCTGAATTAATGAGAACAAGGATAAGGGACATTGAATTATTCTCCTCACCACAATGGAGGTTTTTCTCACTTTCCACACTGCATAGCCACTACATGGAAACTTCCAGAATGATGAGCAATTCAGTCATGCTCTACACTTTTCTTTTCAATGAAAAGTGATTTATCACCTTGTTTTGCTTTTGACAAAATATGAACTAAACACAAGTATATATTAATGAGAATCCAAGAGTAGCCCATACACAAGTCAACTATGTGTATGTATTTATTATTTAAAGCCCACCATTCAGCTTATCTGTCTAAAGATATGATAACAAACAATTTGCTTCTTTTTCACTAATGATACTGATGGCCAGTTAGTTTAAGAGAGGGAAAGTCCAAGACAGCTGTTTATAATATAGTCCAGTGACACAAAGGTAACTATTTCAGCTTCAGGACTTCTGACTTACTGCCTCTCCCTCAAACAGGTCAAACACTGATGCCAATGGCACAACATCTTTTGGCATACGAAAGTTTAATACAGGAATGATCTAGGAATAGTCCCTGCCATGTCTCCTCAATATCCCCCTTATTTCTTCTTCTGTCACTTTAGACCTGCTTTGTTTCTGAACTGTCAGCTCCTATCTGGCACACACCATGTACACCAGTTTGAGTGTGTGAACATCCCTCATTAAAGCCACATGACTGAGGTAAAACAGTGCATGATGGTGCTAGGAAAGAACGGTTTCCAGTGATGAACATCCCTTTAATGTGAACTTTCCTAAATAAACTGATGGAGTAAAAAAGGAAAACTTTTTCCTTCTCACTGAAGTTGGACTTATTGGATTCTGGTTGTCAGAACTGGTACCACTTCTTATCTTTGTATTTCAACATCATCTAAAGGAAAAAAAAAAAAAGAAAAAATATGTTTTTAAACTGTCAAAACAATACTTATAACTGGTTTCATATTTTTATAAAACATTATTTACTCAGAAACATTATCAGTAGTGTTATTATAATGCTTACTTCAATCAATTTATTAAAACCAGTAACAACTGTTCCACTTGGAGAGAAAAAAATATTATACCCAATAAGAACTAACCTAGAAGGTTCTCAAAGTTCCGAGAGACGTGACATAATTTGTTGAATTAAACTAATAACCTAAAAATAAGGTCATGTTCAGTTATCTTGCTGGAACTAAAAATGATCCTTAAGAAACCAGAGAATGAACGATTGGAAATTCTACTACTATTGCCATCTCAAATTTACTGGGCACCTACTTCTAGCCAGATGCTCTACAATAATCTTCCCATTTGTTTCCATCTGAGCCTTTCAACTAATTTTCTGTTAGACATCATTTTTTTCCCTATTTTGCAGATGAAGAAACTGAAGCCTGTTGGGGTTATTCAGGGTAACACAATGGTACAACTGAGACTGCAGCCCATGCAGTCTGACTCAAGAAACCATGACTGTAACCACCTCAATGTACTGTGTTCCTTTTGGTAGAAAATAAAGCTATCAGATGAAGACTGAGCTCTTTGCTAACTATTTAGAGTATGGATATATTCTGAAATGGACTATATGCCTTAGGTATTCTGCAGTCAGATGCAAGATTATGACAACAAAAATCCTGACCCAGACTGAAGGCCACTTGCAGCTGAGGTATTTGTGGCATCTGTGAATCTGATGCCCTGGACAAATATCTCCCAGATGAAGTCACCCCTTTCATGTGTTCTGTGTTTCAGCATTCTTGAGAAAAGAGATTTTTCTTTGAATATTTAAAGGGGAATTATATAGATTATATTTTGGGTATTCAAGCAAAAAAACAACTTTGATATGGTTTCTTCAGAAAAGAAACTCAAACTATCTGAAGGCTAGGAACTAAATGTGTGAAGTAATCTAGAGCAAAGCTTCAAAATTAAAAATCTATGTTTCACCTAAAGGCTTTTAAATTCAGCTTTAAAACAGCACTTCTCTGTTGAACACAGCATAGTGGTATTTTAAGGGGGCCATTTAGGGATCCTGACTTCAAGTGCTTCTGACTCCAACACACTTCCAAGGTTTATCAAGATTAACTCACTGCATAATGCATTTTGTTGCCCCTCCATATGAACTGGTCTACAACATGGATTTAGTATGGTTTATTTGAATAAAAATCTTTGCCAATTTTAGTTATTTAGATCTACTTGGGAGCAATCAATGAGGCAGATTATTTCCCTCTCTCTGACAAGGTGGCAGTAGACTGAGTCTTCAAGGAAAATTAGCATTGCTACTATATTCTCTGAGAAATAATTGCAAAACTGCTGATTCTGCTTACAAAGAGCATAAAGATGAGGTTTCTTCAAAATCTGTAAACATCAGTAAGAGACATATTCTTGTAATGGTTCCCTCTGGTGGCAAAAATCAGGAATTCACAATTATACAAGGATACATGAAAATTCATACGTATACAAATATAGCAACTCTAAAAATACTTTTCATGCTTTCTTTTCCTAGGGTGTTTTTGTTGTTTAAATACCCGATAGGCATACCTCATGAGCATGTTTAGAAAACGAATCTGCACTTGATAACATAGCTGCAGTTCTTTCTTCTAAGTCGCCAAGTTTCTGCCCTCTCTCATCTAGTGCCAGCCTGGCTCGTGCTAATTCACCAACAACTCCTGAAGCAGCTCCTTTCACACCTTCAATTCCACCAGGGCCAGGGATATGCTGGGCAAGACTCCTGGAAGCCTTTCCTGAGGACGACTCTCCAACTGAATGGGTTTTAAAAATACCAGTACACGATATCATTAAAATACAATCTTTAACATTCATCAAAAATACAACTGAATTACTTACACATTTCAATTCATAATATTTCTTTTTCTTTTGTTATAATGATTTAGAAAATCTGATACTTTTTTCTAACAGGTACAAACACGATTTACATGAATAAATATTTTACTCTATACTAGTGCAAACTGCTGGACTTGTATAAAACATGGTGTGGCAATTATTTACTGAAACGAATAATAAGCATATTGACACCAATTTATATAATAGCAAAAACTGCTTTTAATTGTAAAAAATATAAATTAACTTAAAAGACACTGAATTTGAATATATAAAGTTAATATAGAAATGATTTATTTACTTCAACAATTTTTACTTAAAAATACTATGCTTAGGCTGAAAAGAAAAATGAAGATTTCAGTATTCTATTTAGTTTCTAAAATTTGTAGATTATGCTGTATACTTTTCTTTTCCTCCATTTCACATTGTGACTTAACAAAAAGACCAGATTTCCCTTTTAAAAGATCTTAGCAATGCACTATTTCTTTACCATTTGTAATCCAGACCCTATTACTCAACACCTACAACACTGCAAGTCTTAAATCTTTTAAGGGGTGGTCTCAGATTCCCTCTTCCTTCAGCTTAAATTTCTTTGAAAACAACATATATATTTCATATATCCTAAAATTTGGCTCTGTAAGGATAACAATACAGTGATTGTTAGTTTATTCACAAGGATGTGCAACCATTGGCACTATCTAATTCCAGGCTATTTTATCACTTCTAAAGAAAACCCATGCCTTTAGTCCTTGGCAATGATTAACCTACTTGCTGTCTCTATAATTTTGCCTATTTTCAACATTTCTTACAAAAGAATTCATAAAACATGTAGCCTTTAATGGCTGGCTTCTTTTGCAGTATAGTTTTGTCAAGGTTCATGCATATTGCAATATATGTAGTAAGTACTTTATCACTCTTATGGCTGTGTAATTTATCATTTACAGATAAGACACAACTGCTTGCCCAGTCATCAGCTGATGGGCATTTGAGTTGTTTCTACTTTTTGACTATTCTTCATGCTACCACAAACATTAGTGCAAATTTTCATGTTAACATCCACTTTCATTTCTCTTGGGCATTTGCCTGGGGATAGACTTTCTGGATCATAGCATAACTTCTTGAGGAACAGTCTGTTTTCCAAAAAGGTTGCACAATTTTACATCCCTGTGAGCACTGTATGAGGGTTCAAATTTCTCCGTATTCTCACCAACATTTGTTATTGTGTGTCCTTCTGATTACATCCATCCTAGTAAGTGTGAAGTGGTATCTCACTGTCATTTTGTTTTCCATTTCCCCAGTGAAGAATGCTGTTGAGCACTTTTCCATATGTTCATTATCATTTGTATACTTTCCTTGGAGAAATACCTATTCAAATACTGCCCATTATTAAATTTGGCTATTTGTCTTTTTTATTATTTAAAGATTTATTTATATATTTATTTATTTGAAAGCAAAGTTAAATAGAGGAGGGAGGGAAAGAGAGAAAGATTGAATTGATCTTCTATTGGCTGGTCCACTTCATAAATGGCTACAACTACTGGGGCTGAGCCAGGCCAAAGCCAGGAGACTGGAACTCTACCCTGATCTCCTATAAGGGTGGTAGGGGCCCAAGTATTTGGGGCACCTTTCACTGCTTTTCTTGGTACATTGGCAGGGAGCTGGATTGGAAGTGGAGCAGCCGGGGCTCAGACAGGCACTCATAGGGGATGTGGTGTTGCAGTCAGTGACTTAAACCACTGTGCCACAATGTAGGCCCCTATCTGTCTTTATTATTGAGTCATGAGAGTTCTTTATATATTCTAGTAGACTTCATCAGATATCATTTATTCCTTTTTATTAGTCCATTTTTTGATTTCTTTACTTCTTGATAGTGTTCTTTCAAGCTTAAGTTTTTAGTTTTGACAAATTTCAATTTATCTATTATTTTTCTTTCGTTGCTTCTGATTTTGCTGTCTTACCTGATAAACCATTACCCAATCCCATGGCACAAAGATTTATATCTATGTTTTCTTCTAGGGACTTCACATTTTTCAGATCTCACATTGAGGACTGTGATCATTTTGTGTGTGTATGCGTCTGTGTGTGTGCATGGTACAAAGTTGGGGCTCAACTTCATTTTCCTTCCTAAAAAATCCTTTCGTACAATGTCATTTCTAGAAAACACGATTCTTTCACCATTGACTTCTCTTGGCATCCTTGTTATTAGATCAATTGACCATAAATTTTATGGGCTTATTTCTGGACTCTTAATAATTATTCCACTAATTTATATGTCTGCTTTATGCTAGTACCACACTGTCTTGGTGACTACTTGTTTTGTTATAAGGTTTGAAATTGGAATAGTCCTTCAGCTTTGTTCTAGGCAATATTTTGGATTCCTTGCATTTCATATGAATCTTGGGAACAGTCTGTTGCTTTCTGCAAAAGAAAAAACTAGTTGAGACTTTGCTTGACATTGTGTTAAATATGTAGATCAATATAGAGAATATCTATTTACAATATTAAATCTTCTAATCCATAAATGTGAGATGCTGGCCCATTTATTTAGGCATTGATTTATTTAAATAATATTTTGAGTTTTTATTGTACATGTACATTCAAGTTTACTTTCTAAAAAGCTTTATCATAACGGATACTAAATTTTAACATGTCTTTATTGCATGTTTTTGCATGGTCATAAAATTTTCTCCTTAATCTGTTAATGCGGTAAACTCTGACTGATTTTTTTTTTTAAGTGATAAGCCAACTTTGAGCTTCTGGTCCAAATAAAACTTTTTTAAAATTATCCTATTACATAAAATCTGATCTAATATATTAATATTCCATTTCAGATCTTGTGTCTATATTCGAGGGATATAGCCTTTGCTTTTTGCTCATACTATTTTGACTTTTAGTATTAAGATTGTATTAATTTTATGAAGTATATTGATGAGTGTAACTTCTGTTTTCTAAAAGATTTTCTGTGGGAGTAGAATTATCATTCTCCCTAAATATTTGGTAGAAAGTATTAAAGTATGATTTGCACTAGAAGTTTATTTGTGGAGAATTTTCACACAATAGCTCAGTTATAGTATTATTTAGATGTTTAAATATTTTAATTGTACCTATTTATGGGTATATTATGATAACTCAATGCATATATACATTGTGTAATATAAAAAATCTGGGCAATTAGCATTTCCATATCCTTAAGCACAGCATTTCTTTGTGTTGGGGACGTTCATACTCCTCTCTTCTGGTTCTTTATAACATAAGTTATAAATTGTTAAAACTACTGTCACCTTACTCTGCTGCAAAACACTAGCACTTTATTGTACCTTTTGTCCATTTTGGTAAGTTATGTATTTGTTGGAATTCATTTCATGAAAATTTCCAAAAAATTGACTGAAAAGTATATTCTCTTATTTATAAAAATAATAGTGGTAATTTTTAGCACTATCCTAATTTTTTTGTTCCTGATAGTGTTTATGTGTCTCTTTTTTCTTGATCTGTTTCAACAGAGATTTATCAGTTTTATTAGAATTTTACTATATTTTAGAAATCAATGTCCTTACTTTTTAATTTTTTTTAATGTTTAACATTTGGGAGAGAGAGGACATAGTGAGACAGACAGTGCCTATGCACTGGTTCACATTCCAAATGTCAGAAATTGCTGGAAGTGGTCCATGATTGAAGCCAAGAACTTATTTCAGGTCTACCACATTGACGGTAGGAACCCAGCTACTTGAACGATCATTGCTGCCTCCCAGGGTCTGCATTAGCAGGCAGCTGGGGTGAGGAGTTAGAGGCACAGTGACGTGGAACAGAGGCCTCTTACTGTTGGGCGAAATGTCAGTTACTAGACTTTAGAAAAACATGAACAAAACCTTTTGATTTCAGAAGACATAAAAAATTTAGTAGTACAAACAGTTCCCACATACCCTACACCCAGCTTCTTCTATTATTAACATTATAGATATTTTTGTCAAAATCACTGAGCCACACCATGCTTCCCCTATAATTAACATCTAATATCTAAGACAAAATTAATGAACCATATCTAACTTTACTGTTTTTAAAACTCCCTCTTTCCCTCTCACTCATCCCAGCCTCTAGTAATCAACATTTTATGTTCACATTGATTTTTGTTGTTTTGTTTGCTTGTCTTTCTGTGTATGGTTTATTTCACTAAACATGGTGTCCTCCAGTTTCATTCACTTTGCTGCAAATGATGAGATCTCATTCTTTATTGCTGAATAACATTGCATTGTGTGTGTGTGTTTCTGTGTATCTTTCATTTTCCTTATGCATTAACTTGATGAGAGATGTGTTGGTTGATTGGCTATCTTGGCTACTGTGAACAGTGCTAAAATAAACATGGTGGAGAAGGTATCTTGTTGATATATGATATATCTTTTGGGTATATACCCAGCAGTAGGGTTGCTGGATCACATGGCTGTTCTATTTCTGGAAATCTCTTGTTGACCATATTGACTGTGCTAACTTTCATTCCCACGAACAGTGTGTAAGGACTCTCTTATCCATATTCTCCTCAGCATCTCTCACTCTCTTTTTGAGAAGTCATTTTAAAGAGATAAGGTGATAGCTCAATGTGGCTCGGGTGACTAGTGATGGTGAGCATCATTTTAAATTTTTATGGACATGTATTTAATCTTTTGAGAACTGTTTATTTTTAAAAGGATTGTGTTTTCTTGTTGAGTTTTTCGAGTTCAAGACAGAGATGATGAAAGGATATTAATCCTCTGTCTGACAAGCAGCTTGCGAATATTTTCTCCCATTCTATTTATGTATCTTCACTTTGTTGATTGCTACCTTTGCTGAACTGAAGCTTCTGAGTTCGATACACTACCTTTTGTCTAGTTTTGCTTTGGGGATATTTTTTCCTAACTTTTTTAAATATTAAGTTTTTTGAGATAGGACA